CATCAATTGGAGTGCGTATACAACCAGACAACTTGTAGAAGCAACGTACGAAAAGTCTGAGCAAATTAAGAAAGACGCCGAAAACGCAATGATAACGATCATTGCTCACAGTGTCCCCGAGTCCTAAGTTCCCTCTCCCGAAGAACCGCATTCACGTGGTCGGGAGCAATGTGGGCATACTTGTGAGACACTTTGCCAAAAAATGTCGTTGCTACTGCGTTAACTAAGACTCACGCGTCATCAAAATACCAAAAAATGTGGTTCTAGGTTGCTAAAGTTAGTTTTCAAGTGTGAGCTAACAGAACAGACCTATGTGGAAATTTAGGCTAAGTTCAATAACATGCTGCCAACAGAACTTCGACTGAAGATAGCAGGGACACGACCATAGACTCCACATCACTTAGCGGAGGCCGCAAACTGCAAAACGCTCGTTTTATAGTCCAGTGTAGCGATTAATCCAACAGTCATCCTAGCCTCCGAAGAGACACCGCAGGATGCAAGCGGCGATCAGAGTCAGCATGACATGGAGTGCCTGGCGCAGCAATGGATCTCAACTCCATCTCGAGAACCAGTGACACCTCACAATCCAGTAACAGCGGACCACACTAGAGTCGACCATGTCTCAGAGCTGCTGTCTACAGCTTCCACGAATCTCTTAACATAGAAATCACTTTTGTTTTTATACGGACGCATAAGGCCTTTTCTGCAAACTGATAGATCTTCGGCTGCGTCAGGGCTCGATGTCGTAGGACCTCATCTTAGTTAACCGAGATATGGTTGAGTGAAGCGATCAATGACACCGAAAATATGCTACATGGGATATCCATTCTGCACAACAATCGACCGAATAGAGGAAGTGGGGTACCATTCTGTGAGCTCGGTGAGCTATATCTTGATCTCATCAAGGACCTGGTAGCCAGATTGTCGACGCGTTTTGGTGCTGTCTTCACCTAAGGCGTGATGATATATGTCGAGTAAGCATCATGAACCGCTCTCTGTTGTCCACTTCACAAATGGACAATAACTTATCCTTCACTCTGAAGACTATCCTCGTACACCCACACGGTCACATTTTCTTGATTGGTGGCTGATCAGCACACCATTAAAACCTTAGTCTGTTTCGATGAAGACTTCAAAATGGAATTGCAGGTAATTAGTAAATTACCACTCTATATCCAATTTGCTTGACCTCTTAGATTCATAGCAGGGAGCAAACCAAGAAAGCTGGACCTCATGTTCCCCAATCAGGAGCTTATGATCGAAGTGGTATCAATGGCTAGTCTGTCGGGCTACAGTGATCACACAACGCTTATGTTCAATCACCAATTTTATACAGAATATTCTGCAGAAAACACCGATGACTCGCAGCTTATTAACGATGGCGCCGTTCTGACCACACCCATTAATGCAACTGGCTGGTCGTTTATGGCTGAACTCTCCTCCGATGTCGCTTGGTGGGATTTTGCTTATTAATTCCAAAGGTTACTAACCTGCGTTTCAAGAATTAGCCTCCAACCTGCGATGAGAGTAAAGCCATTTATTTCCAACAAGACGCGGAAGTGTATGGTCAAATGAGATTCACTCTGCTAAAACTACAAGGAGGCACCGCATGCTGAAACAAGGGAAGCCTACACTATCCAGCAAAATCATCATGTGAACCTGTAAGCGAGGATAACTCAAAGCACAAATAGGATCTAGCTGTGAGATTCGCTTCAGATCCCAGGCTTTTTTACAGACTTGATAAGAAACTCCGTAAAGTGCAGCTAGGGATTATTGTCCTCCACATGCCAAATGGACCAGCACCAACTGCAACAGAAACGGCCATAGTCATATACCAGCAAATTTCCTCAAAATTCCAGGATAACACTTTGTTGATTATGCGGTTCACGCAAGTTGTACGACCGCCAGGTTATATCCATATTTCATATGCAACTGAAGCAGTTCAGAAAAGACTAATTTTCCTAAGCAGGCATATGTCTTCTGGTGCAGCTAATATTAGACCGAAAGCGCTAAAGTTGGCTGCAGTGACTTTGATGGATCCACTCACTCTGTTCTTCAAACCTTACCTCGACGAGATGCAGGTCCGAAAAATGTGAACTCACGGAATCGTCATACATACTCACAACGGGGAACCGCATGGCTCCGGCCAACTATACCCAGATAACACTCCTTCGCGTGCCATCCAAAGTCATGGAGTTTAATATTGCCGAAGCCAAGATGAATAATTTGGAAAACGACGTCATAGCAACTGAAAAATCTGGATTTCACTAGAACCGGTCTTGCACCACATCCCTGCTATTTGTTCGCTCAAGAAGGACTGAAAGTGTCGACAGATGTGTGGGAGTTGACGCAGTGTATCTGGATTTCTCAATGTCGCTTGAACGTCTGAACCCAGGCAACTTCATTCACCTTTTCCATAGCCGTGAAACCTGCGAGCCAGCTCACTATTGGATATGAAACATCCTGATTCAACGACACCTGAAGGTAATAGTTCACATCGCCATCTCTGACCCTATCGTTGTTCAGGGTAAGATGTCCCAGTACTTATTACTCGGTGCACACCTACTTCTGATTTACATAAACGATCTCGCGAGAAGGATAAGTACAGATTATTTACTTTTCCCTGATGTTCTCAAGATATGAGGTGCAATCAAGACAATGCTTAACTACATAGCTTTTCAGCATAACCGTAATTTTGGTATAGGAATGAACGACACAGAACCTACATCTTTTCAACGCCACCAAGTGTAGGGCATTGAGTATACGCCATCAATCCGATTGCAAATAAGGGATTGTGGGTCCCGTAATGCAGCGCGCTTCTATTGGATGTGACTTAGTGATGAGGGTACAAGAAAATATTTTCTGTTCACGGTGGACGGCTAAAGCATCAAAAGGCTAATCCACAACCTTCCTTTTGGGGAATTTATTCGGACGTTTTGGTCCTTCCATGTTCACTCTGATTTTCAAAGCTTACCTTATACCCCGTTTGGTGTAGCCATTTACACTTGACAGCCGTGGCACAAGCATGATCTCACCACACTTAGAAAGCCACAACGAAGGGTGACCAATAAAGTAAACAGCCTGTTTCATCTTCGTGAAAATCATTTAGGTCTATAGTGGACAATATGAATGACTACGTGGCGATCTGTTAATGAAATATGTGATCTTGAGAAATCCTAACCACGCTTGTTCTCACCTTCGAAGCTAAATCACAATATCAATCTGAGTGCTCACGCGCGAAAGCTAGCCACACAACATAGCCGGTTGGAACGTCACCCGAATAACTTTTCTTTGTGTATGCCAATGTTGAAATGTTCTCAAGGTATTCCAAAGACGTCTCGACGATACACTGGTGCACTTAGATTACGTTATATAACCCTTTATATCCATAAGCCAACATAACTCTACCAATTAAAGTGTTCACTTTTGCTTCATGGACTTCATTTATTAAACGCTGCTATTGTGGAATATCGTTAGAATGTGCCCAAACTGGATTTACTTATCTCATGAGTCCCAGGAAACGACACAAGCATGAGCGTCCTCATTTTCATATTTTTACGGAGTTCGTCAACTATATCTGTTCACATAGTACTGTGTCTGCGCACTTTCAATACCCAGTTCCAGTATCCTTAAGCAGCAGTGTAGTTACATCGGTAGACACTTAAACTCACCATTTGGGTTTTTGTAGTTTTTACTCCAAAGATCCCGCGCGACTGTCTTGTAACTGCATTTTCCCCGTGATACCTCATTGTTCACTGATTACCTACTGGCTCTACTCCAGCCAATTGCACCTGCCTGGTTGCTTCTGTCGCATGACATTAACATGGTGCCATCGATATTAAGAATGGCCAAAACGGTGCATATTTAAGGTAAACCTACTGATGTTTCAAGCATATTTCTGTTGATTGGGCTTAGACTAAGCATGAAAGTTTGTCCGATAAGTAACGGAATCACAACAGAGGCCTAGACCATCTAAATATCGGTCTTGTAATTGTAGCAGTAGTGTGGCCTGTTTTTGCACACAATGCTTGCTATAAAAGGCAACACACCAGAATAATAGTTTTGCCCTTAAAATGGTGAAAGGAATGAATTAGATTATATTTTAAGGTTGCTTCGTCCCTTCTACACCTGCTAAGTCGTGCTCCCTGCAATTAGCAATTGTACACTGGACGATGGTGGCTCCACATATGGAGTCAATCTGGAGTCTAATCATGTTCCCTTAATCTTTGAAACACATGTGGCAAATTAGGATGAGTGTCACGTTAGATAACAGCCAGTTGATTGATCCACAAGACTGCAGTTCGTCCTTTGTGGCCCTTAGGTCTTACTCAGTGATTAGAAGGTGAATGATCTGCGCTTCCAACCACTAGCCAGACACAAGGACTGCACATTACTGACTAGTCAAGAACGCGAAAGTAACCGCCCAATACTTCGCCGGATGTGCTCTGCCTGTCAGACTGCATTCAGCCCTGAAGATTCGGAGACGGTATTCTCGTATTACGGATGTCAGCAAACGCGGATGACGTAGTTCGACGGAATTCACCTTATTTCCACAACTTTATAATCATAATGCGGATAAAGCTTGCCGATGACAAAACGGATGTTAGTTGAGTTACAATATGCACTGAAGCACCCAGTTTCTTGTGGCCACAGAAAGCAGTTGTCCTCCCTCAGGAAAGTATGCGCCAATGCAGCGGGTGTGATGTGAGTCCGTACGGCTGGTTAGAAATAGCTAAGGAAGTTGATTGCAAGATCGCTGGAAACTTAAATCATTTTGGCATACCAGTCGTATAGTGCATCGTGGAAGTGCATTTGTCACTCACAAATTCTGAGACCCTTTAATCTTACCTAGTTTCTTTTGGTGGATGTACCTTGTCCTGTGGCACATAAAAACGCGCATTCCGTTGTGAGTCGTCCGACACACCACCTTCTAAGGACATGACTCCGTCGGTATAAATACCAATAGTTTATGGCGCAAGCACTTATTACGGTAGGTAAATCTTTGTGTGGTTGCAAGCGCATTTGAACTCACTTGGGAACCACTTGTGTGTGCGCCTGGTTGACAAGTGACTTCTTGTTTTGGACAATGTCTACGGTTCCTGTTTTCACGGGCGCATGGGACACGCGCCTTCATTTAACTGTCCTAATTCTTCTCGTAACTCATCCGATCGCGCTATGCGCAGCCAGAGGAAACCATATTAGTCCGCATTACGGTGGTGTACAGACGAATGAGATTTCGGAGCTAGAGGTGAGTTTATTTAAACAATTCTAGCAGGAGTAATGAATTTGATAAAGTACTAACTTGTTCCATACTATCTAGGTTTGAAGGAACTTCAATAGCACCCCACTGTTGATTGCCAGGCATTGCCTATTGATAGTAGCGTGCCGAGAAGATTCACATCGGTGCGTGGTCCGTATCGTCGCACATGACTCGCCACGAAGCGGCTTTGAGATTCAGCCGCAGGTGACATGATTGACAAGCAGAGTTATAGGCCTTGGAAATACTGAACCGGGATAAATTCACTTGTCGAAGCCTGGTAACCGCCAGATAAAGTGTATGGTTTAACCGCAAACTTCACATATTGACTGTTGCGTCAAAAGACAGCGCAAACTTTTAGACGGTATGAGGCCAAACGATTGGGCTGAGCTACATTTGGCGTAGTGCAGCATTTCTCAACTTGTAACCACCTTCCCTTATGACATTCAGTTTCGTTTGGTCGCACAGTCCATGCACGATATTCACACGTTTGGCGTTGAAAAATTTCGTTTGGTAACAATGTTGATGCAACGACAAGGCGTAGATAACTCGAAGAACGCCTGTCTTTACTGAATGCAAATATGTACTTAACCAAGCTGAATGGACTTGAGGGCTATAGAATACTTTTAACAAGAACCGTATAAATTTCTGGAGTGTCTTCCATAACCCATGTTGGCGTGAGCCTAAGTAACTGTACCAGTATATTTGTCGCGACCCTGATTTCATGATTCTGGTCATTGTCAGCTGTCGTCAATAAAAAAGCACCTTAGAACTGTCAATACTTGAATGGTGTTCCGGAAGCATTTCGCAATCGGAATCTGTCTATCGTTATACATAACATTCTTGCATAGTTATTTCGAGTGAATCATATACTATTTGAGGACTTTAAGGGAACATCATCCGATTTGAGTTTTAAATAGTGTGGCAATACGAAACAGTGCCATCTCGATCAGTAAAACTTGTGCATCTGGTGTCAGGTTAACCAAAACTAATGACCACAATAGCTGCCATTTTACGTTAAAACAATACACTCACTTCCTTTATTCTACCGCACAAAGTTACCACACCGATATTCATCCAGTTATAGATCCAAATATCGATTGCATCATGCACGCTGCATCTGTACCAGCTGTAGACACTAGTTATTGCCAAATTAACCACTGATTGGGTTTTGAACCCTAAAGACTAGTCTATCTTCCACCATCGCACTCACTTTTGTTCCACCAACCTTTGAGGAAGTTGTACGCTGCTATTGGTTCGCACCTCGCACCGTCGAGCTTAGCGTTGTAGGTTCACGAGAGTGACGACTACCAATTGTGTCATCCAGTTATGCTTCGATGCGAATGAACATCAAATAGGAACTTACGCCAACGCGTTCTAATATAGTGAAGCGGGTTCATTGAGGACGATCAGATGTCTAGTTTGCTGGGTGCGCACACATAAAGATCCGTGGTGAACAACTTTTGAAACGAAAGTTATCCTGAAATACGAAGAATTGAATGTTGTACGAAAAATACTGTGTGTGTGTGACATAATTAACATGAATTTCCGTAGGCACCATACCGTCATGTCAAATCACATTAAATAACCTGACAGTTTCCTCTTTACACAGAAAAGACTGCCCAGGCTAATTTGTACTTATTGCTTAACTGTTTCACGTTGCGCTTTGTCCCGTAGAGTAGCGTTGAGGTTTATTAATTTATAGTCGAGTAGTGGTGGCGCAAAACGTTCCATTGCGAAATTAAAAATTATTTAATTGCCGACAGTGCGACGCATCCCTGCATAAACTCGATCCTGGATAACTGGGTCCGAATAAGCGAAGAACCGACAAAAGCTTACAGGTTTACAAAATATCATTGAATCTATATATATATATATATATATATATATATATACTGGTAGGAAAAGCCCTGGCTCTTTTTGGCTTGTAGTGGCGAGACTCTGACAGAAGCCTTTACTCGTTTGTAGTTTAGGTCTGGTGCTGGTAAATCACCTGAACCTCTCCTTGCTGCAACCGCTAATGGGTGAGGTTAAAGTATTCCCCCTAGCTAGGAGCCAGGACCCATATTCGGCTGAGCTAAATGATCCATGGCATCTTTCTAGCTGCTTTTGATAGTTCACTTAGTCGAAGGCTTCGCTGATGTCTCTAGTCGTTCTCCTGTTCAGGCGTGTGCGCCCTGGCCGTGTATCAGGCAAAGCACAAACCATGAACTGCACGAATAATGTTACTATCATGCTGCATTGTCGGTTGCTCATTGGCAGAATGGGGTCGCAGTCCCTAAGCGAAACACGCCACCACTGATGCTTCCCTTCTTTTTGCTTTTCCTGACATACCACATTCCTTTCGCTTGATCTCAATTTGACAAGGCTCATTTCACCTGCCCCAACCTCCTCTCCCACCACCGTGGACCACCCTAGCGATTGCCGGGCGTAATTGTCTACCTCCAAGGAAAGCTACACATATTGGGTGCTGGAACGTATGCACATTACTAGGACTTACTACAAAAAGTGCGCCTATCGACGCAACGCACTAGTAGCCATTTAAATCGGTCGCCGCAACATTGAATTTTCTACGTTCAGTAAGACACGAGTTGCTGATCATGACAAGCCACAGGAAGATAGTACTAGTTACCTACACCTACTGGGTGGAGAACATCACCACAGGAATAGGTGAACATGGGGTCGGATTCGCACTGCCCGACCGCCTGAATGGCCACCTGATGGAAGAACCAACTGGTATCTGCCAACGATTGATGACTAGGTCTGCGCCTCAGAGGTTGTAATTTTTCCGCTTTTATTAACACCTATGTTCCAGCTGTGTGTTATCCTGATGGCATGAATGAGCAGCTTTAATCTCATCATGCGGCCCATGATGAGGGATATTTGGTTAATCCTACGATGTGCTTTTAATGTGCGTCAAACATAATGCCGAATGGTGGACAGATATAATCGGTCCGAACGGCATTGGCTCACGAAATAAGAAGGATTTTTTCTACTCTCACTATGTCACTCACAACCCGACGAACACAAACACACATTTTGCACTGGGGGCAATTGGTACAGCTACTTGAACGCACTCACCAACTGGTCAAACTCATCTGTTCGCTTATGCCATCGTACGCCAGCGTGACGTGCAGGAACTGCGAAGACACGTGTAGTGCGTGGACCTGAGTATCGGACTGAGCACAAGTTGCAGCGGACTAAATTGTACAGTTATTTTCATAAATCCATATATTGCTCATTTGCCGTGAAAGGAAAAAAATCAGTGTTCCTTCAGTGAGTACTATTGTGAACAGAATGGGGTTAGAGAATGCGACGGCTACCCGCTTTGGTGATGTCGACTGCATCGCATCAGTCGGAAAGCTATTGCACTAAATCCAAAAAAGGTAACGGTTGCGTCCGAGGATACGCTTGAACGCGAAAATTGTAAGCGGCACGATTGATTTGATGACAACAGTGCGAACATTAGCGTAACATTGGCTACGCATGTGGCGGACCGTGTTGGCTCAGAGAAAGTTTGCCGGTAACAGTTCTGTTTTACATACAGCTTGGATGAGTTGCGACATATGATAATACCACTCACTTCGACAGCTGCGGACTCACAATAAACAGCGAAAAAACATTTAGTCGTTGTTAACTGTCGCAAGGAAGCTGACGATGTATCAGTAGATGATGCTGGTTCTTCTTTACGACGGCAAACTTGGACGCTGTACCGGAAGCACTTCGGGCTTTTGGAGTGCTTTCACCAGCATCGTCGACATCGCTTTCTTTGCGTCCGTCGGTGTTACAATTTCTAACAAGAATTTATTCACAGTAGGTGGCTACATACTTCTGCCTCGGCAACTAAGATGTCTCGGACATGTCTGAATTCTGGATTCTAAGAGGTTAAAGGCACAGGTGCGATTTGGCCACCTTAGTTCAGGAGAGAGAAAACAGGAAAAACCGATGCTACGTAACCAGGCCATGATCAACATGCGTTTGTTACAAACCAATGTTGATTTTCGGCTTTGGGAGGCAACGACAGTACATCCACGCCTCCGAAATGACCACCTTAAGAATGCGGTTGCTCAGGTGCACCAGAATTTGCTGTTGATTGAGGAAGAAACCCCTCAGTTACTTAAGGGACAAAACAGGTAGAGACATTCCCATCCACGTCAAGCAAACTGCTTTAGCACCTGCCGTCGTGTGTGGCTCAGGTAAGGCCCCAACGTAACCAGGAGGGCATCGTCGAAGAGGAAAGGAGCAGAGTGAATCGGCAAACTTCAGCGCAACGTTCATAAGTACGCTGCGTCCGCTTCCATTCAGCATGTGTGCCATGTGTGCTGCATCATTGTTACACTTGTTCTGTACGGGTGTGTGTGTGCGTCTAGTTCCATGCATTTTGTTGTTAATTGATATCCCCTGTCTAGCTGCGCTTGATGTAAATGTTGGCAAAGTGTCTATTAGTCAGAAACCGCCACTTCGACCGTATTGTATCTAGGAGACAACTGCTCATTGCTCAGTGGGAGGGAGTACACTCTTATCTTGACGGTGCTTTGTTAAATGAGTGGTTCTACCCAGTAAGTAACGGGCCACAGTCCATCCGTCACCTTGTGTACGTATGGCATGCAGAGTTCCCCATTTGGACGCTCAACACTGTTGCGACTGTGCATTTTGAAATAGTGTGAGCCGGCTCCTTTGAGGAAACGTGGCTCCCTTCCACATCTTTTTTCGGTTGGATTCCTTCTAGCTTTCATTGGATATAGGGTGTGTAGATATAGCAGTAAATGGTGCGGCGCAAGTCACCCATGGTTCCTCTGTACTCTCAGGCGTCATGAAACGGTCTTATGATGACCAAGTTGACAGGCGCATCGGATGTAGTTAACTAAGTTTATATCCTTATCTAATGTGATGTTATTTGAAAACGTAGATGTTCCGAAGTATTTGTGACCGGATACGATCTGGTCATCAGTGTAAGAATAGGTCCAACAAATTCAGTGTATTGAAAGGCTGACGTCTGTTGATTAAGTAAGATGATCTGGATAAATAAGAGGCACGATTTTTCTGGTAGCTAGTCATTCCCGCCAGGTCGCAGTGGTGTTAAGCAAACATTCTTGGCTTAATATGGAAAGAGCGCATACCGTATGAAACCCATCATGTCATGGAACATTACCGGCCAACCTTTAGTTGGAACGAGATAATCCCCAAGCACCCAGCGAGCTCTGCGAGGAAGCTATTCCCGTGCCGGGTTTACCAAAGGTTCTTTAATCTGCTTACTTGCAAATACCCTTAACATGGTTTTGCTTCTGAAAAAGTAATGAGGACGAATTCGTCTGTAAATGATTTCTAGACATTTTATATCTTAAAACTTTAGGCTAATTTATTCTATTTTAATACTTTCAGAAGCCAGTTGGAAGTGATAGCCATATCCAGCCGACAATTTCCAAGACACTGCACGGAGATTTCCCTGTAGTAAAACATCTAAAAGTAGAGGCAAGCGACTCACCAGCGTTGAATATTGCTGCCTTTAATAACGGCTCAAATGGAGCTAGCAGTGTGTTATCTGCGCCGCAATTGCCATTTGAAGAGGAACTCATCTCTTCAAGAAATCAGCTGCAAGGAAACAAACGAACTGATAGTGAGATCATCGCACAACAGCACATCTCGACACTGACATGGAGGTGAGTGAAGTTTGGTCCGACATTGCATCGGTAACATGTAATCGGGTATAAACCCCACTGGTCTCGATTGAATCGGAGAAATAAAATGGAGCAAAGCACTTAATCAGCGTGTCTGGCTGTGTGACGGTTTTGACCTTTAGCAGTATTTAATCTCAACAAAGAATTAAACGGTTAATTGGCTGTTTCAGGATAAAATGTAAAAATGTTACAAAATACTGGGGTTGAGGAAAAACAATGTATAAAATTTAACCATCTAATAAATTGATTGCATAGCAAAACGTACAATAGGTAATTGGATAAATATTTGATCGAAGGTGAGACTAGCAAAGCAAAAATTTATCTAAATAACTAGTTGAGAAGACCGCTGACTAAGTGAATGGGGTGTAAACGATGGACTGTGTTAAGTCCATCAGCCACTACAAAAAATGAACCAAAGATATACTTGTTGCATTAATAACCGCACCGTACTTGGTGAGACGTGCAAATAAGATTTTAAGGTGTTCTGAGTTTTCCCTTTCGTTAGCTAGTATAATCAAAATATCAGCAGACTAGGCAAAGACAAAAGGTAAGCATGAAGTGACTCTACACACTACACCAAGTACGATTGATTGTCACGTTTCCATGGCAATCCCAAGACCATTGGTTTCTTTATCCTCGTGAAGAAGCATTTTGGAGGCTCTTCACCACCTCCCACATCCCGGTATACGTGCGGTAGTAAAAATGATCTTCGAACGCTTTGTATGGCCAAACCTGAACAATGACATCCGCACATAGGCAAAAAGTTGCTTAGCATATCAATGTTCTAAACTCATTCAGCCTGCCCAATCGCACACCGGAACTCTCGCACAACCAGACAGCAGGTTCGATCATATCCATATCGATATCGTCGGACCCCTGCCCTATTCCAGTGTAATTCATACATCCTGACGTGCATCGATCGTTTCACTCGATGGCCCGAAGCCATTCCCATTGCAGACACGCTTGCAGAAACCATCGCCGGTGCACTTGTCACCAGATTGATAGCGATTTTCGGCATTCCTTCTTACATCACCATTGACCGCGGTTCCCAATCCAAATCCCGGCTTTTCCAGCAGTTGACGGAACTATTGGGCTGCAAAAGGATTCGCACCACAGCTTCTCATCCCCAGGCGGACGGTTTATTCAAACGTTTTCATCGACACTTAAAAACCGCGATCAAAGCACACTGATCGGACTCACTGGACAGACATAGTTCCGATGGTGCTGCTCCGTTTGCGTACAATGTTCCGATCAAACCTTCAATGTTCACAACCAGAGCTGGTTTTTAGTACAACATTATGCATCCCTGGTCAATTTTTTACCCCAGTAGCCAACCGTTACACTTACCGCTTCACTTAGGCCACTAAACTGCAGAATCACATAAGCCATCTTTATTACTGTGCATCCACGAGTTCAGTGCAATCACCATGCGTTCACCCTGATCTCTCTTTGTGCAGTCATATCTTCATTTGCATTGACCGCGCGAGACGGTTTTTGTAACAACTGTAGAAGGGCCCATTTCTCTTTCCTACATGTCATTGAAAGCATTTTACTGTCCGGCTCCACAACAGAACGGACACCATTAGCGTTTATTGCTTAAAACCTGCTTATACTCATTGCTTGGAATCCATACCAGCGGATAACACTCATGCATACATACACAAAAGGCCACCGCCGTCTCCGAAAGTAACACCTCAAACTGATGCTTCCACCAAGGAAATAAAGTGTCACTCGATCTGGACGACATGTACGCAGGCCTGACAGATATGTCGTCAACTGAAGCTATCGACACAACCTACAAATGCACTCACTCTCATTGGGAGGAGGGTATTGTTAGGTCTGCTTTCTGGTTCACAAAACATGTATGTGAAACTGTACTTGCCATTTCCTCTATTTGGCAAAGCTTAATCATACGCCACGTCGGATATACACCAGGTGACATGCACGCCACGTCAAAACGGCATTTTGACCTCTGCCCATTACCACGCCGGCGTCGAAACATTTGACAAGTGGGAATGCACTAGCTCGTAGTCATTCTGATATACCTGTCGCATCAAGACGCACCGCGCAACACAACTAGAACAGCCGGACAACGGATTTGTACGCTTCCATTCACGTGATCAAGGCTCGACGCATCCAGTCGCAACCGCACCGCAATCGGAATTGAACTCACAGCCATCACACAAGTTCATAAATTTCTTGCTGCTGCACATATCAACACTGCGTATTCAATATTATTATTAATACTAGTGCCAGGCGTTCTAATTTTGTAACTGGTCACTATGTAAGCGGTACTAATAACCTGACAATTCAGGACTATGTAGGTACGACTGCTAACTAGGAGTAGGTAAAAGGTCTTTGCAAGCGTATAGACGTCGACAGCACGGTCTTTAGGTTGAGAACCAAATAGCCAGGGAACTAGGCTGACTTGACTAAACTGATTGCAATATTGTGTGACATTCTTTCACATCTGAAAGTGGGATTGTTGTAGTACTGTTTCCTTAACACGGAACCTGCTAGGCTACGACCGTCTGACTGTTCAGTCCCCCACCAGCCAACCAACGGGATACAGAAAAAGGCACTCCAGCGGCTTTGCGGAAAGGCATCGTCAGTCGCCCCAACAGTTCCATCTTGAAACACCTGGTGGAAAGCGGACACCGAATTAGGACCGCTGATGCCTTCCAAGTACTTTATGCAGTAAAACCGCGGTACACTAAAGGGCTTAGAAAGCAAATCTTACGGACGGCCGAAGCGATTGCGATTAGAATATTGCAACCGGAATTATGTAAGCAGAAGGCGTTGCTGCAAGGGCTTCTTCTACCCTGGTCCTAGTCAACGCGCTAATTTTTGCCACTCCAGGCGCCTACAGTGGTCGGATGATGCACTTGGCATCCCAACGATCAACTAACACGTGCTTTGTCACACGTGCTGTTAACGAATTTTACTGATCAATACTTCTGAGTTTCTGTTTGTCGTGATTCTACTATTCCCACCACGTTGGCTTCATCAGCCGTTTGCTTTGTGCGTTTCCATTTTATAATTGTAAATGCCTGAGGAGATTTATCGAAAAGAGTACTCTTCACAACGTTGTGTTCTTGTATGCTTTATCTTTTTTAAAAAGTCTCATAAAATCTTTGTGCAGGTATGGTGCTGGCACATGCCAATGCGATATCCAAGATACGTCCGGGAATAATTCACTTTGATGACGACGAACCATGGGTCTATGAATACAATATAAGTAAGTGATATTTTCAATTTTCTGTTCTTATTTTACCGGACACGGAAATCAATAAGCCTACATCTGCGCATACTTTGACCTCGCTGCTTATTCCATCTTGGATTGCCCCGTAACTTTTGAACCGCTGGACGTTATTCACTCAGCTTGTGTGTTCTACCGCCAATTTTGCCAATCATCCCATTCATTTGCACTTTTGCGTGTAGCCTTCAATGAGCTGTTCAACATTGCATTTTTACAGCTGGTATCAACTTTGGAGAAGTTGCCCTGCATGAGGTGGGGCACGCGCTGGGGCTATTACACTCACCAACATTAGGGGCAGTTATGTACCCATTTTACGGGTTTCAAGAAAAAGAAAATACCCTACATTCGGACGATGTGCAGAGAATTCAAAGTATATACGGTAAGTTGGAGTGATCCTCAATCCTGGTTGCACTTATGTCATCTGCCATTACAGTGTGCGGTGGAAGCGTGACTGACCGATCGACGGCCGAGGAGTGGACGTAGATAATTCTATATGTCAAAGTAAACAAGTGAGACTTGCTTCACTCAAGTATCAGTAGTTCCTGCTTCCCAAATACTGCGTCATGCAACAGGTTTCCAGTGTGTCTGCCATATCCCGGCAGAAATAGCCTAAAATTGTGTCCGAGTTTTGATGTCCATCTTACGAGTTGACTCATTGTCCCTACACCGAGCTCTGTGAGTAACGATTGTCCCCGGGGATATTGATTTTCATTTATTTTGCTTTATATTACTAATTGTTTGAATATATGAAGAAATATATTGGCGCATTGGACCGCGAATCTACTTGGGGAAAACCGCGGTTACATCGATCACGTGGTGCTATCCGTAATACATAAAGTATGGATAGGACAGCTACCGAATAGAAATGTCGCTCACTACGAATAACACAGCAATGAAGCTGCACGAAATAGGAGACTGTGACATTCGCAGGGTAACTAAAGCATAGATTTGCAATGATTCTAACTGTCCTCTACAAAACGGTTGTGTGTATATTCCAGTGATTATGGGTTAAGAAACTGAAAGGAAACAAAATAACAAACAGTACATATATTAAGAGTGGTATATTACCAACGAGAAACCCCAACCAGCGATAAGCCAATACAAAGGATATTTGGTTGGATGGACTGACATAGACTATGGTTGAATGATGTACTCTTTTCCTTGGCGCTTTGGCTGGGGTTTCATCCTATATGTCATTGTGGATCTGATTTTCCTGAAGTGCACCCGCGATGACTACATCACTCTCTGTGGTTTCAAATCTCGGAAGTCTACGGCTAGCTAAGCGAGATTTGTATATTATTCGCACCATTATCACCTGAAGTAAAAATGATACGAATAAATCATGCAACGTGGGCAACTTCCATTACATCTACAGGCGTACGGGATGCCAGAACTCATGCAGCAAGAGGTAAGATGCGTAACGGCCGAACGTGCCACTTTTTAATGTTCCAAAACCCGTGGTTTTATCATTCACTAACTTCTGATTTAGTTGGCCATTTATCTGCATATTTTCGTGCGAAAAGGGGACAACATATGGTGTTGTTTCGTCACGGCATCAGCCTTTAGTCTACCCTGTACCGGATTCCATTTCTTCTCACTCGATTACCGCGTAGTTGAATGGACTGACGCCGCTACAGTGGAGATATTCATAGCGTCACCGGTTACAAAAACAGTAACTTTCTTGACGACCCAACCTTGGTAAAGTGAATATGTCACATTAATTGCCTCTGCTGTGATTTGTAGCATTTACTGCCAAAAAGTAACACGTCCCATGAACACGAACTGTGCGTCGAGAACAACCGTATGCACAAAACGTCTTATTGCCAAGTAAACGATGTCATTTTCCGTTATATTGATATCCCGGCATAACTGCATCATTCAATCAGCTAACATAGGCTACTAATTTAGGCGGGATGTGATTTCGCCGATCCACTTGTGAATACGCTGGTATACCGTCCAGTTTTCAGGACTGCGACAAACTTTCTGATAAGACACGCTAATAACCAGTACGTTTACCTGAATTATCGACTAAATAGACACATACGTACCAGAAGGGAAAATAACTGCAGTGAAGAACTTCATAAGCAACTTGTATTATAAAAAGAATTGTCAGCAATAAATCGGAATACTTGTAGCTCGGGTGATCTGTTTATCTTTCGCTCTGTTCTCTGAGCTGAACAATTTCGTTGCAGACGTTTCGTCACCAATCGTGGTGACTTCCTCAGTGCGTTATAAGCAAACTGGTTTGTTTTGTCGATTCTTACCGACGAGCGAGTGACATTTTAACTTGCTCAGTTCGATTCAGGCCCCGTGACCCTTGCTAGTTCCCAGTGTGGGCGCCGCCTCTTTCCGACTCATGTGCCAGATGATCCACGTAAACTCTTTTCTCACAGCTGCCTGTATATCGGATCTAAATCGATGCGTTGGTTTATTGAACTGACTGTAGAAAACCAGGCTTCAAGGAATTCTCTTCCTTTTTTGGTCTCTCCTTGTGCTAGTATCTCTGTTTTCTCCCAATCAAATGCGTGCCCTTCTTCATCAACATGTGTCGAGACCAAGGATGATGGGTAATGGTTTCGACAAGATCGTTTGTGTTCTTATAGCCTTGTAGACAATTTTCTTCCCGTTTGGCCCACGTAGTTCTTATCACAATTTTTACACTGTATCTTGTAAATAACCTTCCGGCGTTCGTGTGCTCTCGTCTTCCCTTTCGGTCTAGATAGGGTTCCTCTCAGCGTGTAGGTGGGTATGTGAGCCAATAACAGATGGTGTGGCTTGAGGAGTCTAGCAGTCAGTTCCGATACTTTGTTGATGTATGGTAAAGCGATCCGTTTCGTTATTGTTGGTTCAAGTGTGGTGTTTGTACTCTTGTGGTTCATGTATCTTCGGATGAAAGTGCGTGGATATGCGTTGCGCATGAAGGATATAAACAAATGATTTTCTTCCTCGCGTTTTGCTCCTGCAGTATTACAATGTGATTCTATCCTGCGGAACAAGGTGCGTATGCAGCTGATTTTGTGACATTTTGGATGGTTGACGACACGTTTGTCATACTTAAACGCAGCCAGTTGCAGATCGCACAAAGCCTCCTGAACGATGCAATGGACAATATTCACTTCACTATGGAGCCAGAAATGGAGAACAAACTACCTTTCTTGGATGTATTGGTTACTAGAACATCGGACGGAGAACTACAAACATCAGTTTACAGGAAAGACACACATACAGATTAAATATTAAATTTCAAAAGCAACCATCCAAAATGTCACAAAATCAGCTGCATACGCACCTTATTCCGCAGGATAGAATCACATTGTAATACTGCAGGAGCAAAACGCGAGGAAGAAAATCATTTGTTTATATCCTTCATGCGCAACGCATATCCACGCACTTTCATCCGAAGATACATGAACCACAAGAGTACAAACACCACACTTGAACCAACAATAACGAAACGGATCGCTTTACCATACATCAACAAAGTATCGGAACTGACTGCTAGACTCCTCAAGCCACACCATCTGTTATTGGCTCACATACCCACCTACACGCTGAGAGGAACCCTATCTAGACCGAAAGGGAAGACGAGAGCACACGAACGCCGGAAGGTTATTTACAAGATACAGTGTAAAAATTGTGATAAGAACTACGTGGGCCAAACGGGAAGAAAATTGTCTACAAGGCTATAAGAACACAAACGATCTTGTCGAAACCATTACCCATCATCCTTGGTCTCGACACATGTTGATGAAGAAGGGCACGCATTTGATTGGGAGAAAACAGAGACACTAGCACAAGGAGAGACCAAAAAAGGAAGAGAATTCCTTGAAGCCTGGTTTTCTACAGTCAGTTCAATAAACCAACGCATCGATTTAGATCCGATATACAGGCAGCTGTGAGAAAAGAGTTTACGTGGATCATCTGGCACATGAGTCGGAAAGAGGCGGCGCCCACACTGGGAACTAGCAAGGGTCACGGGGCCTGAATCGAACTGAGCAAGTTAAAATGTCACTCGCTCGTCGGTAAGAATCGACAAAACAAACCAGTTTGCTTATAACGCACTGAGGAAGTCACCACGATTGGTGACGAAACGTCTGCAACGAAATTGTTCAGCTCAGAGAACAGAACAAAATATGAAAAGGGAATTGTGCTCCTTCTCTGCACTTGAGTAGCTAAGCCCGTTATGTTATTTGTCCCTTGGTTTCTCCGCTGGTTCTCTTATGCATCTGAGTCACTCAGCGGCAATGCCTTCCAATTACCATCCCTTCCTGCATAGACCCTTTTAGATGGCGCTTTACTAATTTCCAGAATCGTGTGAACTTTTCCAATTCCTAACTAACTGTAATCGTCGACGCACTGCAAAGTCGGTGAGTTTCCAGGGGCTGGGGCTTGATTTGTATTTTGTACACGACCGGCGATTCACTACAGTTGTGGTGTTTAATTTACGGCTAAATGTGGCCTGTTGATAAAAGCCGTGTCGATTTCTTTACGATAATATGCCAACGCTGAGTGCTGTGGTATCTTGTCTTGGGATAACACACGTATTCAACGCACATTAGTTACTAGTATTTGAAATATATGTAATATCATTGGATTGTAGATTGTGCCAATTTGGTCATCGTAATACAACTGTTTGGGGAGTTAAACGTGGAAGGGCCATATAGGTCCCTGTGGTAATTGGCACGTTGTCAGTGGTTCATCATGATGGAGTTGGACGGGAGTGCATGTCTAGTTTGAAATAAGGTGGAAGGTATGCCCAACTTGAATGTGATTTTGACCATGTGGGCAAAGAGTCTGAAGCGTTAGAGGTGAATGAGCCAGTAGATAGTTTTACCAATGTATTTCGTATGCATAGAAATAATGTGAAACGAAATATGTACTTGCAACTGATTATAATGACTGACTAATATTTGAACATTGTACCTCATCTACTCACAGCAATGAATCGTCCGGAGAACTGCCCTAATAAGTTCAAGCCGCCCAAAAGTAAGTATCCAATGTTGACCTATGTGGGTTGACCTTGGAGTGATCGGATAGCGGTCAAGGCTACAGACGCTGAGACGAACAGGGACTGTGCTGCTAATAAGACCTACTAAAATTCAAACTCGAGTCACAGAATCACCCGCAATTTGTTAGCATAAGAATTGGGAATAAAAAATGTTGTGATAAAAAATGCACAAAGTGTAAGATTAATACTTACAATAAGCACTTGTAGTTAGGTTCGCGAAGTGCATTGTCATCTGCATCTGCAACAACCGATTCCGTTTGAGTGAACGTTGGTATTATTTGACAGTTCCCTATTTTGCTGTTGATTGCTGAAGCCTGATCATCTTTCCAGAGATAGTGGTGTTTTCTACCCTTGCATGTAAGTGTAACATGGATGCGCTGACATATTGAATGTTTCATCATCGAACTGACGGTCACAATTCCTACTATTATCGAATCCTACGTTTGTAATCAATCATCGATTACCACACTGTTCTTCGCCGAGTAAACATCAACCGACAAATGTGGTAATAAATATTAACTATAATACTAGTAAAAGCGGAAATGCCACTTTTCTTACAAATAAGAAAATGAGTGGACGCAACGTTGGATGACGTCGACATTTCTTAACTTTTTGGTAACGAATAAAATTTGTGCCTGAAGGCAGGAAAACAATTGAGATATTGAATGATTTTGCGTCCCCTACTGCAGTCACAGCTGATTGGATGGCACGCAGTATTACAACACGAAGTGAAATACATGGGGATATTATTTCAAATAATTTATTCCACACGTTTCATCCCAGCGCCGGAGATAATTGTTCGCGGTTACAAAAGAAATGCCTCAGTGGAATATTGCAAGACTGGGATGAACTCTATCACCATCTCAAGGGACAACATATTTTATATTACCAAAGGATCAGTAAGTGCTCACACTTGCCATTCCGTCATTTTAAGATACAACGCGTAGCATGAAGTGCAAAGGATCTGTTACATGAGGTGGGATGTCTATTCGAACTGTTTAGCATCTATTGTACATATTGATAGTCGGATCGTAAAAAAAATACCTCGCAGGTCACTGCTTTCCGCGTTCCCTCCAGCACTGTAATCAAAACCAAATGATCTCATATGTATCCGTAATTTTGTTAACTGCACACTTATTAGACCGCATCTTAATGCGTACCAAACTGTACGAAGACAAAACATATCTAGTACACAGTTGATGTTGCATTCTTGATGCTTCTTCAACACAGTTGGACTAAACCAACTTACACTTAAACTAGGTCTTATTAAACTGGCTAAATTTCATTTCACTTTACTTGGTTTGTTCTGCCTACCTGAATAATGTTCTATTAACTGGCCACGTTGCTTACGCTAATTGCGCTTCATATGGTAATTTGGCGAACAGTTATGCCACCGTATCTGTATGCATTATTCGATTTATCTTATTTCCTCTTGTCGTTTCAAGTGATTGGCTGTTGCTTGTTATCGCCGATGTGGCTGCGCTTGATGTGTATGTTGACAAAGTGCCTACCTGTCTCTTACCCACTACCTCGTCCATACTGGCTCCATGAGACAGTTGGTCGTTGCTGGGGGGGACGGAGTGCACGGTCCTTGTGGCCGTGCTAGGCTCGAAGGGTAGTTCCATGCATTCAGTGTGGAGCGGACTACGGTCCAACCACCGCCTTGTGGGCACTTGATTCCCCAAATACAGCCTGCTTGTGTTTGCCTGTGAAGGAGTGTGGGCCGGCTCCATTGATGAAACCTGGCTCCCAACCACATGCCTCGCGGTCTTATTCCTTCGGGTTTACACTGGATATGGGGTGTGTGGTTGGAGCTGTGGGTGGTGCAGCTCAAGCCACCCATGGTCCCTCTGTAGGCGCAGGCGTCCTGTGGCTTGCCACTGTGACAGTCAAATCCGAAACTGGATACCGCCAACCATATATATATATATATATATATATATATATATATATATATGTGTGATGTGTGTGTGTATGATGTGTGATGTGTGTGTATGTGTGATGTGCGCACTTAGGCCCACTTTATTGGGGCTAGGTAATACAATTGGCAACCAAATCCTACACTTCCGGACGCTCGAGGCAGGGGAGAATACCAAGTTACTAGCACTTCCCTAAAATATCTGTGTATTACTTGTCGTGAAGAAACCTACGGAGCTGTTTTGCCACTGACACTGTTGATGAAAGGGTTGTTGCAGTGCTCTTCATATACATGGAAGCAAAGCAGATGTCTTAAACTGCCATCAATAACCGCCTACCAGAGGCACCGATAGTGTCATTAAGTAGGGCTGCAGTTAGGTCACCAGCTTACTAAACGTATGACGATGTTGCTTACAAATTGCCATAATTAGCTGCTTGGCGCTTCCATTCTGGCATTAACGGCAGCCACAGTTCTGCAGTATAAAGACAAGAAAATTATATTGGTTGCTAAATCCTGGAACGTTATATGATTATCAGTGACTTGCGCAGCTACAAATAGTGTTCTCAGTACACCGACTTATCAAGTTACACTTCACTGATCGATAAACAAATTTGAAGTTTAACCCTCCAATGAACAAGGATTTATGCCAGATAACAAATCAGGTGCTTGACAAGTCCCGCAGGAGAGTTCGCATCAAATTAATAAATGTAATGAGCAAGTGAATGGTCAGTTTAAGTGTCTACCGATTTAACTGCAATGCTGCTGGACAATCGTTTGAAATAGGAACCGAATACGCGCCCAAAAACTTACAGAGAGCAGATGTAATTAAAGCAGTCCATGAGAAAAATATAGCGAATGGAAATGACTACGTCCACTTGATAGTTTCTTCCTTAAACCCCTGTGATATGTGCATAAAGTTTGGGCACATCCTAAGAATATTCCACCTTTTCAGCGTTTAATAAATGAAGTGCAGGAAGTAAAAATTAGCGCGTCCATCGATAGTGTTGTGTTGGCTCTCGTACATAAAGATTTAGATAACGTATTGTAAATCCATGAGTGTATCATCGGGACTTTTGCTTGTCCTAGTCACTCCTTATGGCGGCAATCTAACTCCGCCGTCGCTTTGTCTTCTGTGGTCATTCCAATTCTGTTCACACATTCTTGTGCTTGCGTTTATTCGAACCAGTTCGACGAGCATTATCCAGTGCTTTCCACCACTTGGACCCAAATTGTGTGGAACATAAAGTCTCTGCAGTCCTCAATTTGGCACATCCTTCGTCAAATACTACATCTGCAATTACGGGAAAACTTTAGTCTCATTCCGAAGAAGCGGAGGATCTTAAAAAGACCTGAGGGCCATCTCCGCAAGCTGCAGCAAAACAAGGTTCCGGTACATTTTGCGTCGCTCTTCCACTAAAACCTTTTACATGCATGTTAGCGCATTGTACCAAGCTTTTAGCGCGGCACATTTTCGAAATCGCGTGCAGTGCTTCAAGTTAGCGAGGCTAAGAACGCTGTTTTTGTGTGGTTGACACACGCATTGGTCATGGGACGTCAGCCAATGGGACACCGGTTGGAAGCCTCCAATGTAAGGGACAGACAGTCCAATGAAAGTGGTCGAGCACCACCTTCTGTTATATTTTGATGCCTATCTGAAGGAAACCTCCATGTCTGGTCACCAAACTGAAACCGTCCAGTGCGCAACTTGTGATGCCTGTCTAAGGAGGAGATCCTAGCTACCACATGATCCGAAGCTTAAGACGTAACCAGTGCGGGCAGACGTACTAACCAGCAAATGAAACTAGCGGCTACCTGGTGGTGGCTTATTCAGCGGCCTAACCATGGTGACGTAGACAGGCAATCTTCTAACTGGTATTCCGCATTTCAGCAATGGCTGCTAGGCGGTTTAGACAATGTTGTGCGATTGTTATTGCGACCCTCACGGGGGAAATTGTTCCCATTGAAGTTGGTAGACCAACGTAAAGCTGAACAAAGAAGTCCAATGATTGCTTACTTCTATCACAGTTGATGACTAAACACAAACTAAGAGGATTCCAAGTGTGGCGTTGACACGAGGTTAGTGAGTGTTCGTTTGTCTCCACACCCATGGGCGGCTTTGTTAATCAGTTATCACTTCAATGTCTGCATATATAGCGTTATATAAAGGTCATAGGAACCTATGTATTCATAGGATAATTAGGCTTCACTTCCATATGGTCGCCCATACGTGTTGAGACGTTTTGACAAATGGATCTCCGAATGGCACCATAAGAAGCACAGTCAATGCAGATGGAGCTTCCCTATTACGTCCATGGACTGGAATGCTATCCTCATGAAATTGGCATTACCCAACAAAGAAACTCCTAAAGGGGCTACAATGACTATCGTATTTATACATGCCACATCGTCCTGCTAGAAAAAGCGCAAGGCTGATAATTAGTGGAGGCACACGCATTTTAATCTGGTAATTCAGGTGAGTACTTGGAACAAACACAGTTGTCTCGCCCACGGGCGTTCCTACAATGTGTTTGCAATCATTTACAAAAGCAACCGCATCCACTAATCTTGCTATGGACCACTGTTTCAGCTAGTCTTAGAAGCAGTCATGTGTGCACGCCGTGACACAGGTTGTTATCGACTTGGCAACTACTGGGAAACATTTTGTTATTGGAAAGTAGGTAATTCCGGAGGCATTGTTGAAGGAGGAAAATTGCTCCAAACTCTATGCTTACTATGCGTATGCAATGCTCGTTGGCAGATCGTATCAGGGCCGTAGGGCCACGTGGTATTTCAAGCTTATCAATCACTTGGTAGTGAAGTGTAAACATCATGTTGAAACACAGGATTGACATGTATCTTACGACCTTAACATAAAGCAGGTCCATGGGTCTTGAGGCGATAATTGATTACCGAAGTGGCCCACAGGTTTAGAGACGAACGGACACTCACTAATGTCTTGTCACCGCCACATTAGGAACCCTCCTCTTTGGATCAATGACTACAGATTCACTGATGGTATTACCTACCCAGCGAAATTGACCTTAGTATACAATGCGCCGACTACATCAGCAGTACGTAACTACGCTATTCACATGAGTGTACGGCCAACTGTAGTAGTAGTCAGTAGTCTACGCTCTGTCTCACTCAACACTGTGGCTGAATTATTAACTACGTTACAATATTTGTTGCTAGATACAGGCTTGCTAGTTGGACCGGTTGACTTGCTACGTAAGGACATCGATTTGTGGAACTTACGCCTTTGCCTTTCTTTTGTGGTCCTTCATTGCGTTGACCTAACATTGGAAGCTTTGTTGTAAAGGCTGTCATAGTCTGCTTGCGTTAGAATAGTCTGCAATTCCGAACTAAGCCTATTTGCGTAGACTACTGAAGAAAGGTCTGACGCTTACTATCCATAAATCCAAGATAAGAGCCGAAGAAGTTACTCCTAGTGTGGAGACTGCTTTAACGAAGTTATCCGCTTCAACAGCTGAACATATTCGTGCAGTGGCTGTAAACATTATAAAATTGCAGCAGCCGGGGGGAGCTAAATCTTGCACCAGAGCAGCGCATCGCATTAACTGCCCTAAAAGAAGATCCGAACATTGTTATTACAAAAGCCGGTAAAGTCAAAACCCCCGTGATAATGAACAAGTCGGATTATTTATAAATAAATAAATAAATAAATAACTTGTGTATTCTCGACTAAGCGAGGCACGCCTGCGCAGGCATGATCATGTTAAGAGTACAAAATGTGATCAGTTAATGTACAATGGAACAATGGGATTGTTGCAAATGTTTATATATGAATGTATGTAAGTTTGCATGTAGGCGTGTTTAGCTTTGTTTATGGGATTGGTAAATGTTTCCTGTCATTTTGTTTGAATGTGTTTGAAGGTGTCGCCAGTGCTTGCTATCTGTGGACTTGAAGAGATTGTTCGGATAAGCAATGGGTGACTTTAGTTAGTGGCGAGTCACAACCGC